ATCTATATATGACCTACTTAGGCACACCAGACCATCAATGAGAAGACTGGCTATTTCTAGTTCATGCTAATGCCTGCCCTCGGGTCAAATTCCCCTTGAAATCAATGAAACTAGGCAGAGGAAACACTACTGCTTTTGCCCACAGGGGCCACCAAAATCAAGAAAAAAACATTAAAGTTACTTGTGGGGGCTTTAAATGACCTCTGAACAAAATAATCTGCAACAGCACAGGAAAGCTTCACTCACCTGCATCTCCAGGTTGCTTGTTCACCTCTCTGTCTTGTGGTGGTTTTGCAGGTAAACATGTCTCCGTTGCTAGGAGATCCAGCACAAGGGCAGGAACATTACAGACTCTAGAGTGAAAGGTTGGCTGCTTAACATCAGATAATGTTTCTATTGTATATATCCTGTTCCTTTAACACATGTGCAACTTATTTGATCATTTGAAAATAAGACTGCATCCACTGGATTATTTAATGTTGTGAGATTCCTGTTCTGTTTACTGCAGTTACTTATTCTCTTTTTTCTTTTCTTCAGCCTTTGTTCAAGTTTGTATTTGTACCATTGTATTGTATTATATTACAACTCTTACTTATTTTATTTAACATCATGCTATATCACAGTATTCTTTTCACTTTCTCTTAGACACACATTTTATATTATTGTATTAGTACTGTTGTGGTAACACACTGACTGTTATTTATAAGCAGTATATAATTGTTTGGAATACACTTTAATGATTATTGTTATAAGGAAACCTTTAAGTTAATTAACGTACAGTATTTTCATTCTATTTTATTACAACTGTGTTATATTGTATCTTCTACATTATTTTCAATTATTTAACATTTAAAAAGATCCTGTAGATGCTTGCAACTACATTATATTGTATTACATACATTTATATATAATGTATAATAATATTTAATATTAAAATGGAAAATAGTAGGGGTTTAAAGTAAAGTGTTGCTGTTATGGTGTAGTGAGTGTATACTATATGCAGTACATTGCACATATATAAAAACAATATACCTAAATAAATTCTATGCATATCATAGTTATTACATTAGGTGCTATACACACGCGATTATCGCCTTTTTGTTTGTTTGTTTGTTTTTGACATCAGTAGTACTCTAACAAGTCTCTGTAGCCTACTACTGTGTGTCTGAGTTGCATTATTGAACATATTTCTGCATCGGTGTCATATGTCGTACAGATCTTTGGAGGAAAGTTTGTGACTGACTTAAGTCTTGTGGTGGTAATGTATGAATTTCCTTGCCTGGAGATGATGAAGATGATGAAGTCTTACATTAAATTGTAGCTGCACAGCTCTCGTACCAAATCATCCTCATCAGACTGGACAGTTTCTCCATGTGTCCATTGGATGGCAGTGTGATGCCACAGAGACTCTGACTCCAGTCTAGCCCAGAAAAGATGTAAGGTTATGTAAAAAATGATGGATGGCTTAAAATTTGCATGACATCTTGATAAAAATGTCCATCCGAGACAGGGAGTTATCATCCACCACGTTTAGCAGGAGAAAATGTCTATACATCATCTATACATCTGCTCACATACATCTACATGAACATCTCAATTTATTCTGAAGGATATTCAACCCCTGGTGTATTTAGGACATCAGGAAACACAGGCTGAGCAGGACATCAGAGCAGCTTTTCCTGACGCAGACCTGGATATATATATTCTCGCTAATTAACCCCCAAGAGAAGGATTTTTCTGTTAAAGGATTAAAACAGTGTGATTTCTATCCGGTGGATCTTACACAACCTCTGCTTTATTTTAGAGATCCAACATGCTCTTCAAACACACAGTATGAACCCCTTCAAACCCAGTGTGAGTTTCTTCACTGTTTCAGTATTAGGTTTTACACTATAAAATCTAACTGGGGCTTTTCCATGACAACCTGCTCACCCTGTGAATCACTGTCAACAGTCACATCATTTCCACACGTTTCCTTTAATTCTCACTTCTCATTCCTTTGCTTTTCATCTCATTTCACTGCATCTTCACCTCTGTCACATCACTTCTTGCTCCCTTTCTTCCCTCCATCTGTCCAACGCTGGCAGTCGGCAAAGCCTATCTTTACCAAGCTGTTGCTTGTGTTGCCGTTCCACAGTGTCTCTTGCTTGACATGCTGTCGTGCCAAGCCTGGAACTGTTCATTATCTTCTCCAAAAAATAACTACAGGGAAACGCCTGCATCATTGAAACTGACAGTCTCATTTCCTGCTTCTTTTCTCTTCGATACAATGTGCACATTATTGGCATTTCTAATTATAAATTCACAGGGATCCATACAGCAGGAATAGACCATGTGCCTATTTTCATTCCAGTCGAAGATTACACCAGATGATTTCACTTATTAGAACAACTTCAGCCAGAGAGTCAGAGAGGAGGAACTGATCAGTGAAGGCACCTGCTGTACTCTGTTTGAAATGAAAACCTGCAGACTCTCAGCCCTCCATGTGATTGTTCATCTCCGCAATACAGCAATCTGATTAATTCACACATAACATGAGCCAGCCTCAGTTATAGGCTAGATTCTTGATCAAACTGACACAATACCGGGGAAAAGAAAAGAAAGAAAAATGCTGCACCTTCTACAACAGTTTGCACTTGAGATAACACAGAGGGAGCTTAAAAGAGGAAGGAAAAAAAGGTGGGTGCAGTGGTTCTAAAAATAGACACAGGTGATGCAAGCAAGGGTCTCCCGTCGAGTTGATGCGCTTGGCTTGCCTGCAGCCGTCTGTTGTAGTTCAGGGAGGGACGAAACCTTGGCCCCTGTCTGCAGGAGCTCGGCTGGCTCAGTGCTTGTCTGTGTTTCCCGCCCAACTCTGCTTCCTGATACTCTGCTGCTCTGGGTTTCTCTCTGTTCGGTTCAACAAGATCCTATGTCTGCCATAGAATAGCATGGAATTAATATCTAGAGAGACATAAAGAGACAGCTCAGGCGTTAAGACCCTTCTTTGTGTGTCAGGTCTCAGAGGAGCTCTCTCTGCTTCACCACCTCACTGTTCTGAGTTTTATCTCCTTCCTTCTCCGTTTTTGACTTCTGTACTTAATAGGCAAATCTGGCACGGATGGTTTGGAGTAAATTGCATTGTCATCTTTTTCCATTTCCAGTCAGCTTTGGTGTGTAATGCTAAGGAGGCAGACTGTGATGAGCAGAGGGGGGATTCAGGCATAAAATAAGACATTTAAAATCAAAACGCGTACATTTCCTGACATGTGCAGGACAGCCTATTCTGTAACTTGATGGGAAACTGATTAAATTAAAGAAAAACCATCTATTTCAATATCACATCTGAATGTTTATGCAATTACTGTACGTGTTTGATGGATTAAACCTGAAACACACACTGAAGTGCAAGATGTCAGAAATGAATCGAACTGTGTGAACCATGCTGGAGCTAATTAATTAACAATCTGTCATCATCCTTGAAAATGGGATGAAAGATTCCTTCAGAGTGTAGCATGTAGCCATGTGATTCATTTACCTTCATGCTGACTAATGTGTTGCTCAGAGCAGAGCTGCACTATACATTCTTAATTGCTCTCAAAAACAAACACAACCTTTGCAAATTGCTGCCTCTATCAGCAAATGTTTAAATGCTATTAACTAAACAGTTACTAATTATTTATATTGCAGTTTAATTACATTGTATTTGTATGTGTCCAAGATACACCAAAGAGCCACAAGTTATGTAGACTGTTGTCAGGTTGTTTTCCACATTTTGGGCGATAAGGGGCCTTACTTCCAATTACTGTAAGTTTCCAGCGTTACAGTATAAGGTGGTTCTTTCCTGTTTTAACAGAAATGTCAAGTTCGGTGTGGAAGAGACAGATTTACCTACGCAGAGTTCTGCTCTCAACCACAACAATATGTTAGCCTTATCACCCAACTTCACTGATGCTTTTGTGGCGTAGTGGGAATAAGACTCCAGGTTTATAAATAAGGAAAGCCTTTTGAGAAGAGACTATTTTTATTATTGATGAATCTGCTGAGTATTTTGTCAATTAACTGATCATTCATCATCATTTGGTCAGAAAACAGTGAAAGATGCCTATCACAGTTTTCCAGTCCAAGTTTACCTATTTAAAATATATAAAACTCAGGGATATTTAATTTACTATCACGGAAAATACTAAGAGAAGAGAAGAAGACATTCACACTGCGAGCTTTAGTGCTCTATTCTGATGTACTGCTCAGATCAGATTGTTTTTGTTTGTTCCTGTTCATATTGTTGTTTAATGTGGCCCACATCAGATTCCAGTGTGAACAGGTCACGGTGTGAAGTGAGCAGCATGAAGAACGTAGATCTACAGTGATGTAAAGGTCACATAAATTCTGATATGACTGTTCATACTGAAGTCGCATTGTAAAAATCAGACCTGCATCTGATATGAACCACGTATGAAAGTGGACCAAATCAGAATTGAAACATCAGATTTGTGCTGTTCATGTTGTCATGAAAAAATCTGATCTGAGTCAAGTATTTCTGCCACTTGTGCTTTTAGTCTGAATGTTGCCAAAGAGTTGACCGCCATGCTAGCAGCTTTGTGAGGCGTGGCGGTGCTTTGATTGTAAAATGCTAACATCAGCATGCTAACATTCTCACAGTAGCATTGCTGATTAAGCATGTTTACTATATTTACCATCTCAGTTTAGCATGTTACCATTAACAAATTCTAATTTTTATCTGATGGCACAAGGTGAAAAGTTTAGGCACCACGACTTAGAATATCTGTAGCAAAGATATTTCACTCAAAACCAAAAAAATAATCAATTATTTCAGCTATAACAACAGAATAAGATGAGATTTTGGAACAAGATGTTCAACAATCACATACATAGTGTAATGTTGGGGTGTCTACACACTTTTGGCCACATAGTGTATCTCAAGTGTCAGTGGATAAATAATAGATAGATAAAATAAAACACAGGAAGAGCGAAGAGCATTGAATCTCTGGACACAGATGTAGTAAAAATGATTCTTTAATATGGAACAAAATCAGAGCTCAGCTCCATGGCTCCGTCCACCCAACACACTCTGTAACACTGATGGGTGGAGGAGAACGAGAAAATCAACCAGTAAGATCACAGTCCGCTCGGCCAAAAAACAGGAGAGGCTAAAAAAACATGGAACGCAAAACCAAAGTGCTACTGGGTTTGACCTCGAGACGCCCTCGCTCCCTTTCCCTCCTGACCCAGGATGTGACCACAGGAACACGCCTCTCTGCCACTTCCCAGGGCTCTCCCACCTCCTCACCTACCTCACCCTTCTCACCCCCCTGGAGGTCAGTGGCTCCTCAAACCAGTCGGTGACCCACTGAGCTGTCAGAGCCAGGTGAGGTCAGTGTGAGAGGGGTGGGTTTCGGAGGAGCAGAGAGGCGTGTTTGAGGGTCATTATGCTGAGTCTGCAATCAGTTTGCGGTTCTCAGAGGGACGTGAACACAGACAAAACGTCTTGGTTATTATCATGGCTCCAGCAGTAATGTCTGTGGATCAGTGCCTCCGCTTTTTAACCCCCAGCTAGCCTATGGAAATCTAATAATTGTTAAAATGTTGCTCACTTTAGATTTTGATGGAATGTTTGAAGTTTTTGAGGAAATGAGATGAGACAGGAGGGAGAGGACGTCTGCAGAGGCTGCCCAGTAAGAACCCGTTACTATCCTAATACAGGGACATCAACAGAAGTACTACACAGATATGTACAGAGCAACCAAGCAACACATTGGAATACTGAGTAATAAATCTGGTGTGGGAAAGGGAAGGTAATAATAGTCCACTACAAATGCACATATCCCACTACTTTTTTGTGTAGTTGGTCCAATCGTTAAGGCTATTCTCTTGCTCTTGCTACAAACGGGGCAACAGTGAAGCCGCCACAACATAGATTTGAGTCACAGGTCTGTGCTTGACATCTGAATATGGCTGCTTTGTGTTTCTGCCTGCTGAGCTAGCAGCTGCCCTTCTCCTCAGAGACTGTATACAGGGGAAGCAAAAGTACAACACCGTGAAGAGAAACATGAAGGTATGACCAGGAATGAGGTGCGTGGATCTGCTCTTTTTTTGTGCTAAATCATTCTCTGGTCCACAGAGCTCTGTAGGGAAAACAAGGTGCTCTACAGTAATGTGGATGGTGACGGGTGAGAGCTGCTAATGGACAAAGAATCGCAGACAGATGAGGAAGCATGGATTACTGGGAAATTAGACTCTGGTGGTGTATGCATTACTAGATGAATGGGAGAGTAAATGAACAATCGGGCAGAGGAAGTGGAAATCTATACTTGGTGGAGGATTAAAATGAAGTGTTGTAATGAAGAAGCAGAGTGGACACAGAGACAAAGAGAGGGCATCTGCCAGCTTCAGCGAACACAGTCATCCTGCACCTTAACACACACTGCGTCACATGACAAACTACATCAGAGAGAGAGAGAGAGGGGAGGGAGGAGGGAGGCACTGCACAGAGAGCACTATCACTACCATGGACGGACACACACCTAACACACACGCACACACACACACTACTGCACAGGGTCCCAGTCTGCGTTCCACTGCACTCTCCTGGCTGCCAGAACCTTGCTGTGTCTTTGTCAAAAAAAACAACAAACCAACCGATTAACAAACAAACGGACGAAAAGAAGAACAACACACACTTTAGATCCCACTGGCAATAATAAAAAAATAAACCAGAAACGAAACCTAGATTATAAAAAGAGCCAGTGGTACCGCATTTTACAGAAAGCATTTTCTCAATGACTGGCTTTTGAACAGCTCTACGCTTTTTCTTTTAGTCTACCAAGTATATACTATTAACCTTACGAGGCAGCTAAAATCTATACAGTACTGTCATTTTTCATATATTTATAGATATTTATACACTATACAAAGTTGGCAAAAATACATAAATAAATACATTAAATTAGATTGTACACATCACAATTGTGTGTTTTAAGTTAGAGCACTCTTTGTTGAAGAGGTGGGCCACAGCAAGTTGAGAAAGGAGGTGAAGAAACAGGAGTGTTACCCTCGACATCCCTTAAAGCAAAGGAGTCACCATCAGACTCAGTGAGTAAGATTTCAGTGTATGGCGTTAGATCAATTAAGTGTATTGCTTATTACCTACCTGATTAAAAATGTCCACATTATGGCAGGAGTTAGAGGTTGCTCTAACCAAATCACAAAGTCTATTTACAAACCAGCGAGGAAAGAAAAATACATGCATTCTGAGGGATCTGGGTTTAGGGAAAAAAGTCCAAATTTATTTTCAGTGCATCAATAATGTAATGTGTGTGTGTGTGTGCGTGAGTGTGTGTGTGTGTGTGTGTGTGTATTTTCCGACTCCCTGTGGGACTCCCTCTAAAGGATGGCATTACAAATGAAGGAAGGACTGTATCCACTGTCCTTCCTGCAGACAGCTGGTGGGAGTATCTGCTGTACCATATCATGTCTGTGGCAGAGACAGTCCTAAAAGTAATATGAAACTGATAAGCTCCATCCCTGCACTGTACACAGGCCAGATACATAAGGCTATGGCATATTAAAAACAGGGAAGTGGGTGTGCCAACACCTGCAGTGAAAATAACTGGACTACAGCCCTGTGCACTTTTGATTTTTTTTGGATGCAGCAGTGGGCTGAATGTGTCTGTTAAGAAGGCACAGGGCACATTTTTGGACATTTTGATCTTCGATGATCTTATTCTTCCTCACTGTTTTTAAATGATTAAAAACCCTTATTCCCACTACGCCTGCCAGACTTTATAGTTTGGCTCTCGCACTAATCCTTGGTTTTACTTGCTGGAGTTTGAGAGTTCTTACAAATATCTGACTAGGCAGAAGACAACCATATTATGTGGCAAATTCACGGCAGTCAGTTGTGCTTAATCATGAGTCTAACCCCAAATAAGAGGCTGAATCACAAGCATGCTAATTGTCTTTACGGGGTCAGATGGATGGTGTACGTCCTTCCACTTGGAATCCACTCCCTCCTCCATACATGCCCATCCCCATGTATGGCCTCCAGCAGAGCAATAATGGCTCCAAATTCAATGAGGAAGGCATCATCAGTGTCAGTACAGGGCCAATCCCGTCTAACACAATGGCATTACAGTAAATCCCCAAGCCTATAAGCAGACAGGGTGAGATGTGATGCCAAGCGACCGAGGCAGACTGACTCCACAGGGAGGTGTACAGTCCTCTCACACAGCCAAAAAAGCACTCTGTGTTTCATGTTTGTAATAAAAATACAAAGATGTTTTATGGCATAAATAACACAGGCTACTATTTGTGCCACACATTGCTCAGTGTATTTCCTGGAGGTGTAGGGGCGGTAAAAGGTATGTGGCAGTGTTGCTACAGTGGGCCTGGGATGTGTTGGGTATCACTCCTTTCCTTTGTTTCTCTTGCCCCGACCTCACGACACCTCCAACAAAAATACAGCAGACATCAAAAGCCCTTATTCAAGAAGGGCAGGTATAATCAGCTTCAGCATCATCAACATCACCACTGTTATTCATGAATATCATTGTTTTCTTCATCATTTCAAGTGACAAATGAAAACGTGGCGTACAACAAATGTTAATTTTCACCAACGATATTTACATAAAGTTTTCAAAAACAGAAGGATTTTCTTATCACGTTTGTGTAAAGAAATAAACCCAACACAAGAACACCAAGCACACACATACATACACACTGACCAACAGTCAAATGTGAACAGAAAGAAAAAAGATATTATTACTCATTATTGTTTTTCATATTCATTTTGTTACCATTCAAATAATGCTTACTTGAACCCTGATTGGGAGAAGTCACATTGGTTTTCACCACATGCTTAAAACAATTGAAAGGGTGAGTTAGGGGAGGCGAGGTCTGTCTGCGCAGGGTGAGAATCACACAGGAGCTGACTGGACAAATGACAAAGGTGACCAAGAAGACTTCTGGGCTGACTCAGCCATCATAATGTGATTCAGCAGAATAAATCATCAACTGCAGTCCCTCCAGGATGAGTCTGCCACAGACCGATTTCAATCCACACACACAACTAAAGTTCTCCAAGACATAAAGCACGAGTGATTCTTAATTTAATATTGCACAAACTACAGCAAAGCAGGCACCTTTCCAATGAAGTGAGTCATTGACGCTCATCCTAAGAAAGCCATATCCATCAAGGAAAAACTTGTGTCGCAGAATAAGGAAGGGGCTGAGAGTATGACAAGGACAAACAATATCATCAGTGGCTCAGAAGAATATCTTGCTAATCCCTTGGCAAACAGGTGTGACCCCTTCAGCCAATAAAGCTTTCAGTTATTTAGAAAGTAAACAGAGAAGGGAAGGCCGCTGGTGACAATGATAAATTTGGGGGGACACGCCCATGAATAAACATCTTAAGAGAAAGAGATGGATCTCCTCCTTTACTATATCCAGCTGGACAGACTGATAACAGTAAGTCTACAGCGACGCTAGTGGCTTCATGAGCTAAATGCTAATGTCAGCATGCTCACAGTCACAATGCTAACACAATGATTTAGCATAATGTCTGTGTTTGAAATCACTCTGTATTTATTATATAGTGCATAGGAACAAAAAAAGTAGCATCCATGTCGCCTATTTTCTGCTGAAAATCCAACAATACAACATATTTTATAAATGTGAAAATTGTTGTTGTGTGACAAAACAGCTGATGCAAAAGGATGAAGTGTCCGAAATCTCAGTTTAATGCTCAGAATTGATATTGAGTGTTTCTCATATAGGAAATAGTGAATGAAATAATGAGAGGGTGACTTCGGACGCAGCCCGTGTTCACAACCTTAGTTTAGAGTATTAACATGCTAACATCTGTTGATTAGCACTAAACACAAACAGCTGACGCAGAATGTCATTCATTTTACAGGTATTTAGGCATAAAAGCATCAAAGTTTTGGACAAATGTTGACCAACATTTCATGATGGTGCTAGGGGAATAGATAAGGGGCCACTTAAGTTATTACAATTCATCCCCTAGGGAATGTGAATGTCTTCATTGATGGGAATCCATCCAACAGTCATCAAAACATTTCAGTAAAAGCCAAGAATGTAATGGCTCTAGAGGAAAATTCTGGGGATCACATAAGCTGGTCAGTTTCATCCTCGGGGGATCACAAACGTCTGCACTAAATATAATCCAGTCTGTATTGAGATGTTCAGTCTGGACCAGATGACATTTCCATCCCACTGCCAGTTCGGTTGAAAACACACATTTGCTTAATGTTAAAGAAATTTGCAGAAAACTTGAAAACTTCCACTACCCACCAGATTGCACACTAACTAGAGAAACAGCAAATAAACTCAGTCAGTTTTAAGAGCCTTTATTTGGTGGCAAAGTTGTGGGCAGTGTTGGCTGTGTCGGTCATCTTGAATTAAACCTTTTTAATCAGACACTAATTATCCACACCTGCACCCACCAGTTGGCTGCGTCCGGCAATGAAGCCCTGATGAAAAAGGGCGCTGAGACTGAACACAAGGAGAGAAAGTACACCGAGTGGAGTTAGTCTGAAATAAGTCTTGACTGGGAGCATCTGCAACGCTGCCATGCTGTATTCATGAGCTCAGGATAGTTGAAGGTCATTGCTGACAGTGTTGGTGCCAACAAAACCCAATACGTTCGGAGGTGTGAGACAGGTGGCAGTATAATAAAACTGGGATTTGGAAATTGCTTTCTCCTTTATACTGTTTGGCTCTGAGCTTACCATCCATTTTAATGGTGCTGCTGTTTGACTGCAAGCGACGAGAGAACATAATGTTTGGGACTCCTGGTTATTTTATAGAGTGTGTAACTTCCTGGATGCTCGGTGATGAATTATATTCCACTGTGATACACTGAAGTAAATAACTTCACTTAAATTTAATCTTAAATTAATATTCCAATCACATTTGGGGTTTTTTTTCTTGCCATTTAATAGTCATATGTTCACTCTGAATCTAGACAAATTAAGATAAATGCTACATACCACCTGAATTAATCTTTGCGTATGTAGTTTGTTTGTTTTCTTGGTCCTCTTTACCAGCTCAAAAACATGTTTAACATTGTTTAATAAGTTTGATACGTCATGACTTATAAACATGATTTTTAACCTTTTCAGAAGTTCTACTACAGAAGTAGTAGAATGAAGCATTACTTCCTGCTTAGAGACTATTAGGGAGATGGCCGTCCCCCCAGTAATAACTAACATCTCTACTGTATGTAGAATAACAGACTATTTCTTTGTTTGTGAATGACTTTTAGGCAAACATGAAATTTACAACATGAAATATCTTATTTGGCTTTATGGTATTTTATGTTTGCACTCAAAGGGAAAGAGTTACCACTTTAATACTTATCTACATATTGGGTTTTGATTGGGCCAGAAAAAAAGGTAATAATAACTATTTGGAGTCACGTTTCTGGTCACCTTGTGAATGTTATTCTCTCTCTTTTAGTGTTGTTTTTGTCTCTTCCCACTCCTGATATCTGGTTCTTCAGCTGCTAAATACTCCACTATGTTAACCAGGTTGTCGCTAACTCTGTATTCAGAGTTACAGCCTTATTAAAACACTATGAGAGCATTGATCTGAAAACTCGCTATAACCCTACGTAAAGTCGAGGGGAGCTGCAGATTCAGGTTATAATTGATAATCACTTCGAGCTACCGCTTTCACATTGCCACATTGTTTTTATATTGTCATTTAATATATTGTTTTTAAAATATCAATGAGCCGCTTTAGAGAAAAGTGTTGATTTTGCAATTATTATTCTTATACACTGCCACCACCCAGCTGAGGCTCTGTGGGACCCCAGACAAAGAGCATGTAAAACAAGTGTCAACTAAACACAATGGGTACTAAAATTACTAGAATTTCACTACACATTTAGCTCAGTAACCTCCTGCCTTTGCCAAAAGGTTGTATTAAAGTGTCACTGGCTAATTACTTGATGACCATCATTCCTATTTAAGAACTAACTTTTAAAAATAGAAAACACAATGTATTGAATTTAGAAGCAGTCTGTAGTCAAAAGCAGTTTTATAAGTTTTGAAAGCCTAACCCTGTAGCCCTCCAGTCTACCTTCGAGGATCAGCCACATCCCACTGTGCCTCAAGTTACTAAAAATAAAGCCATATCCCCCAGTTTACAGGGTCACTGATGACTAAGCTTTGTAAACCCCTGTAGCCAAGCAATTTATCAGTCCTTGAGCAACATGTAATCTTGATGAAAGGAACTGGCAGAGGTATTATGTTGACTCATCACCTGCACACCTGCACATTCAAACCACGTTTGGTTTTCACAGCTTCAGATCGCCTTCTGATTATTCTGCTCATTTTGACTGACGGGCCTTTATCCCTTCTACATCATCTTCATGATTACTAATGAGAGCGCTTTGTGTTTTGTGTTATTCTTAGCGAGTATTACTTCTTCAAATAGAGAACCGTCCACGTCCAAGGAAGTAGATATTGCTCCTTTCTGACCACCTAATGGGAGTGTAATGTGCTGTGACACTGCAGGCAGTGGCTGTCAAAACAGTGGGCCCTGTTCCACGGCTGGCCAATTGTTCTGAAGGGTGCTGGACTGGATCAGTGCATCACAGCAGCCAGCACCGAGTCTCACACGAAGCAGCACACTGTCCAGAACACACTCACAGACCAGCTTATAGAGACACTAGACAATGACTAACCTGGTGCAAATTAAACTACAATTACATAATCTTTCCATCTTCCTTGTGGTGATCAGGTTATCGTCAGCTTAAATCAAAACAAGCACAAAAGGATGAGATACTATCAAATTATTGCATGATAAGAGAAGTAAAATCCACAGCAGGGGCCACGGCATGTTAGGCATGGATTTTAATGGGGACCTGCAAAAATGCTGCACTATCAGAAGCAGTGAGGCTTCAACCAAACAACAAACAAGTGATTATATTTGCTTGCTAAGTCAGTCTAACCAGAGAGACGTCTGAAAGGTGAATCCTTCATTTAGAAGTCGTTTTAGTAAAACAAAATCCTGAGTAGCTGACAGGATTATGCCACATAGGACTTTATGAATGTAAAAACACAGACAGTTACAGTAGAGAGTACACTGAGAAACAGTCTGTGTGAGCAGCTCTTAATGGCTGACAGTATTCACGTTGCTGCTTTATGACCGTTTTATTTACGTTACAGAAATATTGAGCTGAGCTGAATGCGCCTGACAAGCAGGGCAGCTACCAGTACACTCTGTGGTGCTCTCAAGCACTCAGGGAAAAGATAATGTCTAATCTGCTTCTACAGTATCTCAGTGGCAGATCTGACCATCATCTAATATCACACCCACCGCCTGTGATACACAGTTTCTGTGAACAACAACAGAACTCAGCCTTGTTATCTAATTTCTCCTTCAGTGTTAAAGCTAAAATGCACATCTGTCTTAGGGTTTCCAGATATGGAGCTATTGTTCAGCATCCAGCCTCTTTGTTAGAGCTCTGACCAGGTTTGCTGTTGATCAGCATGTAGCACTGTTGTGTTGGCCGTCATCAATGTGTCCTTGTGACAAGCAGACGAGCCTGATCTCGCCCTCCACGCCTGACATTTCAGACACTAGCAGCCTGCCACCATGAGCCTGATAGCTGACATACAAACACACACACACACACACACACACACACACACACACACACACACACACACACACACACACACACACACACACACACACACACACACAGGTACACTGAGGAAAAAAGAGGAACAAAAGGAGGAGGATGAGAGCCCTACATCCATCCTCTGTGTCCTCCACTTCATCTCCAAACCCTGAAATCACAAAGCAGACGTCTCCTCTCCCTAACTGCTGCTCACCCTTTCAGATACTCCTCCCTTAATTTTCACCAGAACTATAATCATCATCAAAACTATCATCGTCATTATTATTGTTATTACATTTTCAAAAAGTGCAGATAGAACTTCTCCGTGCCCTCGTTCAGAAGGCAGGGCAGTAAAGGAGGATGGGGAAACAATGGCAGTAAGAAGAGCAAGAAGAGCGCAAGATGAGAAAGAGAAAAGAGAAGAAGATTTCTACCGAGTTTGAATTGTGTTGCTCCTGTGAAAACACACGCGCACGCACTGCAACAGGCACACATTAACACCATACAGTCAGAACTGGTGGAGATTGACCACCATCAGCACAAAACAAAAGTACAGGGCAGCACAAAGAATTCATAGCATCAATAAACAGACAGAAGTGCGCGCACACGACCGAATGCATGTGCACAAACAGCACAAACTTTGTTTTTTTGCTTCTGTTTTCATTTTAACATTGGAAGAAGATTTTAAAATTGGTTTCCTCAGTTGGTGATGCTGTGAAAAATGACATCATCGTATCGTTGGGGATTTGTTTGGGTTTTTTTTTTTTTTCATCTTCTTTTTTCTCTCTCCATGTCAGGGCTTTTTGTCTGGAAAAATCAGGAGCGATCCATTTCACAAGTTTATTGTGTTCCCGCTTTCCCAGCTTCGGAAAGTTCAGTTTATTTATTTATTTTTTTAATCTCTATTTTTGTTGGAGCTACAGCACAGCACCCACAGCACACAGACGACAAGGGGGGCGGGGAAGGTCCAGAAAGTCGGGGTGGGGGGTTCACTAATATTGTGCCAGAGGAAGAGAAAGAGGGAACAATAGGTAAAAAGGAGATAAAGAAGAGCATAGAGAAGAGAAAAGAGGAGGGGGGAGAAAAGACAGCAGTATCAACAATTCCATCTCGAGTTCAGATGGTTTCATCACAGACCGAGTATTGATTGTTTTCGACAACTTCAGCTGAACATTAAACCACTTTTGAGTAAAAGGAGGGAGGACTGAAATGGGGAGAGGATATAATACACTTGAGACGGATGACAAGGACGAGGCGGCAAATCAAGAGACAGGAGAAATGGGAAACAGCAGACAGGATATGGATAACATACTGTATACTAGTCATGTGTATAGGGGGAGTTCTGCCAATCTATACGCCTAACATATTAATATGTACATGTACATACAGCACATACTGTATAGTATTGTGTACCTGGAATAGTCATACAATAGGATTATATGAGATTAGATCGTTACTTAAGATTCTCTGTGATCCCACGGGACTGGCACCTTAAATAGGTTAGGGGCTGCAGTGCAGTTCAGAACCAAGGGGTCGACAAAGAAACTGAACATCAGACCTCCACAGGCAAAGTGCATAAGGACAGACAGACATACAGACAGTCAGAAACAGGGGGACCATTGGCAAAGTGGGGAGACAGAAATTAAGACACAGCTGTATGAAGAGCAGGGAACAGAAGAAGAGAGAAGAGTTTTGGAGGAATAGAGATTTTGAAAGAAAAGAGTTTAAAGGTTTAAGAGAGCAGATGGCTAATTGTACCCGTGTTTCGCAGCCTGGCAGCAAGTCAGTCTTGTGCATAAGGACGGGAGTGGGAGGAGGGGAGGGAAGAGGGGGAATAGGAGACGGGAAGGGGCCATGGAGGGAGCTGGGCGGTGCGATCAGGCCTTGAGAGCGTGCCACTGGGCAACGTTAGTACGCGGCCGAGCGAGCATGTCTTTCCAGTGCTTCACCTCCGCTGGTCCACTCTTCCACGATAGGTAGATCTGAGAGAGGGGAGGAAGAGAAGGGACGATAATGTAGACTTGTAGAATAATCAATAACCCTTTTCAGATATGGAATATCTAACACTGTTGGCCGTTGAAGCCTTAATCAATGAAGCCTATTTCTGGGCTGGGAGCAGTAACTCCTTGGAGTCTTTGCTGGTTGCCAGGCAACTGCTCCCAGCCAAAAAACTGTCCGCGACATAACTTCCCATAAAACGGCGAATTGTCGTTTTCACACTTTTGCACAGTTCAACAAACTAGACATAATGTGTTAATTAGTGAGCTTTAGAGGAGCTAGTAGGCAGATTTTGTTACCTTTGGACAAAGCCAGGCTAGTTGTTTCCCTCCTTTATGCTAAGCTAAATGTCTGTCAAAACATGGGTTATGACTTAAGATTAATAGAACAAAATAAAATAAGTTTTACTAATATCATAAATGTATGAATTGTATAAAATTCAGTAATGAATTTATGGTTGCCATGGTCACAGGGCAAGTTGCAGTGGCAAGTTGACTGACCTCGGTGGCGACCACTTGCTGTCTGAACGTGCCTTTGCTCAGTCGTCCCAAGAAGTTAAATTGTCATCACATTTATGTAACAAGGAGCTGAAGAGGCTAAAACGAGGGCAACAACAAGAAGTACCTACCTTGCCGATAACATCGTTGCGGCTAAGCCTGTCCTTGTCCATGACGGTGATGATGATGGTGGTCTCCCTCAACACATGGGCGGGCACGTCGAAGGGGAAGGACTCGTTGAAGATGGGGTTCAGACAGCGCTTCATCGTCACTGTCTTCTTCTTCTCTACACGCTTGTCCTTGTGCATCAGCCACACCTTCACATATGGATCTGCAATGTGGACGCAGAACACAGCAGTTTACACAAGAGCAAGGATGAAGATGCCCATGCAAGGTGATTTTTAGGGTCAGGTTTGCAATTACCCTCCTAATTGTTAAAGTCAGGCAAGGCAGCAGGGAAGCAGATACCTAGTTTGAGCTCAAGGTCAACCTATCCCCTGAGCTAGGAAACATACAAATGAGGAAGTATTTATGGAAATAGGGCCTGGGATTTGTACTACCCATTCTGGAGCATTATCATATTCTGTATTACTAACAGACATCGCTCCTACTACTGCAGGAAGCAGTCATTTTACAAAAGACACTGATACTTGAAAAACTAACCCCAGACTGAGCTGACACAGATCTGGCTGGGAGGCTGAAGATCCTCATAGATATACAGAAAGAGATAGAACAGGAAAGAGAGAGGGCGAGATGCTTGATGTAATGTCACCTTGCTGCCACAGCTATCTACGGTGTGAGCCATCTTAGGAGCCAGACGGCCGGCGTCCTCTGCACAGGTAGGTCAGTTAATGTTTGAACACAGAGATGGAGCTGCGCGTGAGCAGAGCTTCCAGTGTAATGAGACGGGCTTCAGGCAGGTGAACAAGGGTTAGAAAGAGAGAAGACTAAACAAACAAGGAGGATTCTTTACCTGACGTGCCCCCGATATCCATGGCTTTGAGATTGCGCGCTTTGATGATGTTCACAGTGATGGTGTTGGCAGTGGGATTATAGCAGAGAGACACCAGCAGGTCTCCTCGTCTCCCCTGAGGAACACACGCACATACATGAACACAATGGAGTATGAATCACCCAGTCTAATATCATGTTTCATCAGGGAATATCAAACTCTGGCTTACTCACTAGCTTGTTGTGTAATCTTACATCACTGCCCTTTCTGCTCTAACCCCTTGTGCCAAACACAAATGGTCCAGTGACCAGACGGGCTTAGCTGAGCCTGTCGCTCTCCCTAATATTACGTCAATCCCACTTGCACGCTGAAAGCAGTCAACAAATGGCATCACACTTGTTTTAATAAAACAGTAATCACTACATCTGAGTGAAAACACTAGTTTGGTCATCATTCAGCCAGACGGCCCTCCCTCCGTCTCTTACACTGCCATCACTGCAGGGCTTGAGCTCCTTCCAGAAGGTCTTTATCTGGCCCAGTTCCACCTTGTTAAGGGGGATTGACACCTCTCCAATGGGGTCATTCCTGCTGAAGCGGTCGTAGTCCAACACCTGAAGGTATAGAGTGCGCTCTCTCACTTTCTCATAAGGGAAGCCTAAAACAGAGACAGAAACAGATACACTGAGGGGAGAGCTGAGTTACAGAGAGTGGAAAACATATTCTTGACAGTGCTGAGAAAGCAGATTACTCTGCCCTGTGCTAACACGGATGAATTTGGCAAAGTGCATTTTAAAAACTGCAGGACCAGCCAGCACTCTCTCAAATGACTGAGAGGGATCATTATACTCTAGTCACAAAGACCTATCTCATTTATTTTTCAAGAGCACTGGCTATTGTTCTAATTTTGGTGAGGGTCGGAGCCTTTTGAACATTATTTTGGCTATTTTACCATTGTGCTGTCATCCGAACACAATGGTCATAATGAAACTAATTCATATACTTCACTGCTGTCTGCGTGGCTGCTGCTGATTTTTCTTTTTCTTGTTTTTTTTACAAAACCTGTTTGTTGTTTATTGACCTGGAGGTTATATCGATGCAAAGATGTTCTAATTTTACACCTGAATTTTAACAGAACTCCCGCAAGGCTCTTTTACATTGCCATGAACACTTAATGGAATAATGGTACAAACCTTAGTGAGGTGGAGAGTTAAACTAAAAGATTGATTTTGTCCATTAAATATAGTGTAAGGCTATAGCCAGAGGCTGGTAAACTTAGCCGAGGGAAACAGTTAACACAGTGTGGTTTAAAGAAAGCAAATAAGTGTATTTCCCAAAATGTCTGACTATTGTTTTAAACAGAATTTAAATGTATCCTAATAATGAAAACAATCCCCCTCCAGCACTCAAAGCTGATTGAGAAAATAGGCCCTATTTTTTCAGTCAGCTTCTTATAATGAGTAATGTGGTCTTATATGGAAACAAAATGATCTGCTCAAGTTTGAACAGTTTGTCCGTGGTCTGGGCTCAAGTGGAAAAAGGGGGTGTTAAGTACTTCTTTGGAAATAATTGAATCCAAATCTGATGACACTTTGAGTTGTTTTTTTTATGTTAGTGGGCCACTGTTAGTCAAATCTGATAACAACCACACCCCCACAGTCCTGCTGAAGCATATTATCAAAAGTATTCAGTGTTAAAGAACAGGTGTGTAGGATTTAGTGGCATCTAGCGGTGTAGTTGCAGATAGTAACTCCAGGTCCAATCTATTTTTTAACATTCGTTTATAGTGTTGTTATTCAGAATATTTTAAATATTTAATGTTAAAGAGAAGATGTTTTAAGTGACTTTAATGAGATACATGGTGAGCCTCTTGCAAAAATGTAATAACAACAATAAGAGTTGCAGAGTGGAAATAACACAGACCCTCAAATAGGAAGGTTTCGTTCCAGTGAGGGTTGAGGTTCTTCCTCTTGACCTTGGTCTCCAGCTTGTGCTTCTTGTCGGGCAGCAGGTAGATTTTGACAAAGGGGTCGGAGGTGCCGGAGAAGTCCTTAGCCGGTAGCTCCTGACCCCTGAGCACTTTGACGGTGAGGGTTGTGTTCTGGAAGCTGTAGCCTATGCTGAACTGGATCCGGCCCAGCTTCTCACTGATAGGACCTTCACCGTCATCATCCTCCGAACCTGGAGACAACTGCAGGGCCACACATGCAGTCAAATAAATAAAAACCCATGCAGCAACAGCAGACACTTCAGTCCAAGGGCACACACTTTCTCTGACACAAGCACGTGCACACAGACCGTGACACAGAGAAGCTGCGAGGGGAGGAGATTTTAGAGCTGCGTTTCTATCAAGGCATACTCAAGCAGCTGCTCAAAGGCAGGGATTGGTCTGACATTAAGAAGACTGAGAGAGTTTTATTTCCTTTCTAATGTTCTTAAGAGGCAGGAGGTGCTCAGATTGAAGATAGAGGAGCTTTAGACCACCCATTCTCTCTCACAGCCACTCTGACTGCTTTATCACTGCTGTGCACTAAAAGGCCACTATCTGATAGACAGCAAAGAGGGAAAGAGAGAGTGAGAGACAAACAGAAAGAGTAGCAGAGAAAGAGAGAAAGAGAGAGAGAGAGAGAGAGAGAGAGAGAGAGAGAGAGAGAGAGAGAGAGAGAGAGAGAGTGAGAGAGAGAGAGAGAGTTGAATGAGGAGCATGGAGGGAACAGAAGCACAGCTCAAGGTTGGCATTCTGCGCTTGTCTTTATGGATGCTTATTTTCACCCCGTGGCTCCACCTTCTGTCTCTGTCCTTTTTGTTTCCTCTCTATAACAATAACATAGATTGGAATGACGCGTTTGAGGACTTTAAAGGGTATAAAAGACAACTAGAAGTTCATAAGATCACTTTGTGCAAGTGCCTGGTTGCTCTGGTTTGTATGCAAACACTGCCTGAGCAGAGCACTACTTCGAAACTGTTGATTTCTGTGCTTCAGGCCAGAGCTTCAATTTCAAAGTGACAAACACTTGCTCACTCAGAATCTGTCAATATGGGTTTTAGAACTGACAGGCAGAGCAAGTGTGAAATATTCCAAGTCTAATTTATCAAACAGTGTGAGTCACCTTGGATGGCTTGAACTGCCAGTGTGTGGTTTTTTTCTTCTATTATGGCTCCCTGATTACTGTGTGCAGCTTTAAATCAACCTGTGCATGCAGGATGACTTTGCAACACTAGTACCACCTGGTGACTATTAAACTCACATTGGCCAAAAGTATGTGGACACATACATGTGCTCAATGAACATTTCATTTCAAAACCACAGGCATTACACTGATGTCACTCTTCTGGTTTCTGGCTTTGCTAATTATTTCGGAACCCGGTTGGAGGGATTTGCTCCCATTCAGCCACAAGAACATTAATGACGTTGGGCACTGATTTTGGATGATAACGCCGGGCTCTCAGTCTGCGGTCTGATTCATCATCAAAGGTGTTAGATGAAGTTGAGGTCAGGACTCTGCGCAGGCTAGTCAAGTTCTTCTACACCAAACTGGAATTTACATGACAAGGTCAGTTTACTCATCATGAGGATTACTGCCTTCTGTGGCTCTGGACAAGCTTTCTTTGTCTGACAGAATAACTACTTTCAGATTACAACTTTGAAACACAATGCCTGCTTTATAAAGTGGGAGCAAAGACATGTGTATTTACAATCCATGTAGGACAGTAAACAGTGTTTTTGAAACTTGGCCCATACTAAAGACAAAAATCTGAATATCTTTGCTTTGTTTGCTTCAATTTTGAGCATTCATTTTTCAATCTGTCTCTTTTGAGTCCCACAATGGCCCTACACAAAGTCCAATACTACATTTCCCCTTTAAAATCTGCCTGGAAGAATAAGTCTAAATAAATCCCATGATAAGCCCCAAATGAACAACAAACTGATCCAATTGTTTGTGTTGCCAAAGCCTAATATAGCTTATTCTTCTGTTCCATAAAGCTCCATTGCTCTCCAAAAACTATTAAAAGCACATTCACAAGTTCCTTCATCATTCTGGTGCCATAATGAACAATTAGTGCAACCAAAAATAGTCCCAAATATATTTGCTAAGATCTACAGAGCTCAGTTGTTTTAGGAAACAACCTTTTGGAATAAGTTATAAGACAGGCTATCAAATTGTTGGGGTTTTGGCTTTTAATGGGATATGCTGACAATAAAATAATATAGAATAACACCTATCTTATCCTTTCATTGGAAATAAGGGCGGGCAGGGGTGTTCTCATTTAGCAAAATAGTATGAATCGAGATTCATGAATAGGATGGAAGGATGGTGGGATAGAGGGTCTTACCATCACCATGTCTCCAGTGAGTGAGTTGGCCAGATCGGTTACGGAGGAGTGACCATCAGCATCGGGAGGTTGGCCCTTGGGGCTGTTAGCAGGCTTGTTACCCCTGTAAGCAAAAACACAGGTTGACCCGGAGGGAAAATGGCAGGGACATGTGCTGAGAAGCTAACTCGTCTCCAGAAAAAGAGAATGTCTGAGCACACAGGGAGTCCAACCTCCACCTGCTTGGCGCTTGAAAACCGCCTATCTGAAACGACCAATTTTCAAGTTTGCTTTTGGATAGATGTCACTTCAAAGTAGATTGTGCTTTCTCTAGCTATCATGAGCGAAGCCAAATAAAATCTGCCAAAGATTTCACAGATTAACGGTGGGCCCTAGAACTGAGGACATTTGATGTGGTGAGTTGTGTTTGATGAAACTTGGAATCTGAGATGACTATACATATGTCCAGTGTGGCAAACATCCATATCTCTGACAAGAAAGCTCCACCACCAAGTAAACAAACACATTTTCAGACAGAAAAACAAAACAGAACCTCTAAATTTAAAATTCATAGAAACCAATTCATTATCTCCAATCCCCATAGAGTTCATGATCAACCCTTTTTCCCTCTAAGGACATTAACGAGACACACATGTATAATGACATGTATAGCAACATGACTTCACTATATATACACAACAGACAGACATGTATAGCCACATGTAGACGACCAGACGTTTTAACAGGACAGATGTTGAACAGTTTTGTAAAGTGTTTGTGTGTTTAAATCTCTCAATTATTAAGAATTTGCATCAACAACAGAAAATATTATTAAAAACATAATAGAGAGAGCAGAGATCTCCCATGGCAGAGCTGGTACTTAGGTACAAATGTTAATAGATGTTAAGTTTAATTCCTTCACACAAGGATTGTTGAAAACATAACATTAAAGTGGGAAAAGCATTCTGGGAGAAAAACCTCTATGTTCATACATCATGAAAACAAGAAGAATCACAAAGTGTAAAGGAAAAAAAAAGCAAAAGAAGATAAAAAATTAAAACACAATAAGTATTATGAGATTACAGTAAAGAAAGAATGAGAAAGAAGATAGAACAAGAAAGAGTCAAATGCGAAAGTCCTGACCAATGCAATGTGACACATTGGACACACAGCACTCCATAGATGACTGGTCAAGGCACATGGAGCAGCTGAACACTGAAACACTGTTAGGCCATAAACAAACAGTAAATACAGAAGAAAAACAAGAACAGAAACACACAGAGAAAGAGAAAAGAAATGAGCAGACGCAGAGAGGATGCCGAAGTTGCAGACACACGCACAGACACTGGACAGAAATCATAAAGACTGTAGGTAAGATAGAAAGTTCAAATAGAATAGAAAAGCAAGCTGAAAATTATTTATCTGTATAAGAAGAGATAGCAAGTATTAATAGCATGAACAGTGAGGTTACAGAAACCAAAACCAAACAGAGAGTGAGATTGTTACAAACACCAGCACATTAGAGAGAAAAACAGAGCTGCAAGAAAAGATAGGGAATGAAGGAAGGAAAGCCTGGAAACACAAGAGAGGCTTAGTTTGGTCAGTCTGATAAATATCAAAGAATAAGAGACAAAAAATAAAGAGCTATGCACACATAATATTTCTAACAGGAGACAAAGGGACGAACATGCTAAAGGGAGAAAAAGAGCACAAAGAAGAAAAGAAAACGACAATAAATACAATTGATCACCAAGAAAAGGAGAGCAAGAACCGTCGTTCTTTATGTGGAGAGCTCAAAATAAACAAGAGATGAGATATAGTATGAAAGAGAAATAAGGCGTAGATATACCATACAAAACGATAATATCATTGAAAACACAAAAAAGGGACAAATAGTAAGAACATAGGAAGTGCACATTTAGAGTGTTACAAAAGAGGGCGTTGCAAGAAATGAAGTAATAACTGTAAATTATATAAATTAACTTTGAATCTAATCTGATTTTCCAACCATTAAGCAACACTCTAAAAGTGTGGACTGGGGACACAAGGGCCAAAGCACAAACTGGCATTGGCTACATATGCATATATAATATATGCAAGTAGTTGTCACTCAGAGAGTGAAGGCAATGCCTTGGACGGGCAGAAAACAAGGAGCCCATAGAAAGTCTGTCTGTCTGGCCAGCAGAGAGAATGTATATTTAATGGGTCATACTTTTTTGTTGTTGGGCGCTCTAAACTGCAAATCTGGATGGGAATTGATGTTGAATGCAATAATGTGTACATTTTTGCAGAAGACAAGGACAGAACCGGGGGAAAATATACTGACAAATAGACAGACAGAAAAAGCAAGCAAACAAGACAAGCAAACAGACAATCACTTCAACCAGCAAAGGAAACAGAGCGAGACGGGGGGAAGGAGGGATGTTAACTATTTCGACAAGGGAAGGGAATATTCATCAATCGGTGTTAGTCGTATTAGTTGCCAAGGGAGGTAATTGCATTTTCAGGGGCCTGGTTGTTTATTTCTTTCTTTCCTAAACTGCAGGCAACGAGTTTGAGAGGAGAGGAAAAGGGGGTGGGTAGGACGCTAACTCAAGATCTGAGGATCTGCTCAAAAGAGCTCTAAAGCAAGGAGAGAGACTTAGGGTTTGAAGTAAAGCAAGGCACCTCCCTCCTCCTCCACCTCCCAACTATCGATGGGGGAGTGAACGTCTTCAATTATTCATTCTCCTTCATGCTTCATTCAGGGGTTCAGTGCATTCTCAGGTAAGAGCTAGTGCAGCCAGGGGAATGGCCTTTCTACCAGCCCTGCTCTACAGTACCTGAGGTGGTCCTCTGCTCCAGCGCTGCCTCCAGGCTGTTTAAACAAAGCGGCTGGGGCTGCAGATTCGTTGCAGAAAATAAGATACTTCCTCCAGATCATACAATATAGAGTGAATTGAAAAAAGAAGATTGATTTCGCTTTATTTAATTCCTAAAAAAGCAATATTATTTGCGGCAGATGGTAATACTACAACTGCTACATTTTGGTGCCAATGCTTTTTCTATCTGACCCATTGGGGGTTTGATATGGAAATTGATGCTTTAAAGCCTGCAGTTGTCTACAGTATCCAGTGGGAGGCAGAGTGGACTCGAGTTCAGATCAGATTCTCCCACAGCTAAGGCACAGAAAGTGGGCTGTTGGCATAGCAACGGCTCTAGAAACACAGACCATACATATGGGGGTTTGGGGTGTGTGTGACAAGAGGGTTGTGGGAGTGGGCACGGGGGAAAAGGGTGTATTTAGAGGGGTGCAGCAAACAGGCAAACACAGTGAGAACAAAGAAGATAAGGTATAGGATATATGACAGGTACGGGTGAGAGCCTCGCAGACACACACATTCACATAAACAGACATATGGAGGCAGGCGGGGCCACTTGGGTTTCACCGTCCTGTGATACTATCCTGGTTTGTTACCTGACCGAGGGCCAGCAGCTCGAAGAGAGGGGGAGGGGGGGAAAGACACTCCACTTCTAGGCTGGAGAGAGACGCGAGAAAGAAAGCCCAACCCAGCCCCCTTTTCTTTTTTTCCCCCCCCACCCTTTGCAAACATGTCACACTCAAACAAACACGCTCGCCTGAGACCATGAAGTGATGTATTTCAATGTCTATGCTCAATTTCAAAGCCTCCCACTAGATCTATCGTTTGGGGGGCCACAGCATACTTTCCAGGATCATACACAGTCAAAACCACAGCAGTGAGGCATGGCGCTGCTTACGTAACTCATCATCCACATGAAACACATGTACATTCACACTAGAGTCAGCCAGTCATCCCTGCTGCTTCACTTCTCAGGCTACGACCAAACATTCTGCTGCGACATATAAATATGGATGCTTTCGCTGTTAACTAATTACTTCCTGCATGTTGGAACTGGAAATGAGTCTAAAATAGCATCATTTACTGAAATCCCATTTCAGGAAGAAGCAACAAGGGAGGTGCTAAATGCTGCCTTCTGTGTATCTGCTTCTTTCACTGAACTCCGAATGGAAATAGAAAACCACAAGGCAACTGAGTGGGTGCCAAATGTTGATATTTCTACTTCATTCTTTAAATGTTATTTAAAGTTGCATTTCAGATATTTTTTTAACATACTAATTTTAACTTTGGTGGCTGGCAATTGCCCTTTTGACTATTACACAGTAAAGCATTGCAAACACGATAACTTACGAATCCAAAGATGATCTTACTGTCTACAGTCGAGCCTCACCTCCCTTTATGGCCTCCCAATACTCTCTGCAATTTAGCATTCAGCTCTCCGAGCTCAATTAAAATAACTAGCCTATCATTCCAGGGAATTTCAGCAACATGAAATCATCAAAACATTTTAAAAGTCCATTAAAACTCCAAACATGAGTCTACCAAATGTTGTGAATCTCGATTAAATTCATAGATTGCCTCTGATGTGGAGGCTGCTGCAGATGTGCCACCTGTTCTGAGGCAGGACACAGGGGTCCTAGGTTAATGCTCCAAATAGCTTGTCTTCCCAACCGCCATCCATCTATCTGTATGTATGAGACGAGCATGTGTACCAGCATACCTGCTGGCTAGAGTGCTGCCTTTAGCCCTGAATAACGCATGGATGTGCTGAGTACAATAAGTACTCTCTCCTACTACTCGTGGAAGGAAGATGGATTTGTACCCTGAATTTTCTCTCATCCTCCCCTGACATATAGATGGATAGATGTATGAATGCACTCCACTACTCCTCTCTTTGTGACTCCTTTTTTTCCGCCTTAGTGCTATCTACTTTCTCTCTCACTCAGCACGTAACTGAATGCATTTCAATATTCCCCCTGTGATGCGTGGATGAGCATGGTGGCCACAGGGAGCCAAACCCTCAGGGACAGTCTTAACCAGAGCCCCTGAAGACTCTGCTGATTAGTCGGGCCCGAAAAGCCCCTGTCACAGGAGGAGCACTGTGTCAGACTAGCAGAGCATATAATCAATTTACATGTTTATGTACAAACTCACATACAGATTATATCATCTGGAAGCACTTTAACAACAGTTTTCTTCTATTACCCAAGAAAACAAAGCTTAAAATGTTAAACCCACTCTACACGTCTATGTGACCTCAGAA